GTTCGAGTGGGAACATGGTTCAGGGCACCAACAGAGAATGCCAGAGAGAGAAAGCCTACAAAAAAAGACAACTGCCTCTGTCCCTGCTAATAATTAGTCCCAGGATGGAAGTCTTGGGACAGAAAGGTGTGTCAACAATGATTATGTGTTTCTTTGAAAGGTGGGTTCAAATGCAGAACAGTGAAGAACTAATGGTGAGCTGTCCTTTAACAAAATATCCCCACTGGCATGGCTTCAGGAACTGTTTAGTTCTCACCTTAACTGAGTATCACCTGTTTAATATTGATGACAGGCATTACTATTCTCAAGATGAATCAATTCTCAGTCTTATAATTCCAAGAAAAGGATACGGTGACATATTTCACAACCAGGAAAGTGCTTGTGGATTCAACATCCTATAACTGACTAATGTTATGTTTTGTACTTCATGCATTTCTCATTAAGATGAGTCAAACTCTCCTTCTCTGTTAAATTATGCTAGCTTTATTTATGGCATCTTTACTCTGAAAACAGTAAGTGAAGAGTAACCACAGAGTAGAGAGACTTTCCATGTTAGGCTTGTAAAGAGAGAGACTCATCCCTCTAGAATTTTAGTTTTATTATTCATTTCATGGTATATGCTCTCTGTATATTCACAGTATGTCTCTATTTTAGGATATGAAATAGTTCTTAACCTGTTGCTTTTGGGGTTGTCAGCCCAGACATTATGACAACTTTTAATGGTTGACTTTAAAAACAAATTTTTACCCGAGTTTTCTATTTTGCCATTCTAAGCTTCATAATTATCTCCAGCAGTTCAAAACACACATTCCATACCAAACTGAGTTTTCAAAGGACAAACAAGATTATTTTAAGATAAATAGAATCCATCTGAATGACAAGACTACATAAAAGTACTTCTCAAGGTGGAAAATGAATCAAAGCTAATCTGGTTTCAAATACCAATTGTGAGAGAAATTACATACTGAAATTGACATAAAGCCATTTCTGAGGGGTCAAATGTGAAAAGGGGAAATGGAGATCGAAATAAACAGGGCGAACATAAAGATATAAGCTGCTCTGAACTCATAACATGATGACCTCCCATGATTTATTCAAGACTTAGAAAGAGGTCTGAGTCCTAGCCGGTTTGGTTCAGTGGACTGAGCATCGGCCTGTAGACCGAAGGGTCCCAGGTTTAATTCTGGTCAAGGGCACGTACCTAGGTGAGGTTGCAGGCTCTTCCTCAGCCCGGGCCCTGATCAGGGCATGTGAGGAGGCAACCAATTGATGTGTTTCTCTCACATCAATAGTTCTCTCTGTCTTTCCCTCTCTCTTCCACTCTCTCTAAAAATAAATGGAAAAATATCCTCGGGTAAGGATTAAAAAAAAAAAAAAGAGAGAAAGAAGTCTGAGATCCTCACCATCCTGGAACCTAATTTTGAACTGAAACAAGTAAAATTCTGGATGTTCTGGATGTGTTGCTAGGAAGAAAACAGACTGCTGTTCTTAATTTAACAGGACCATGTTCTTGAATCTGGAATACTGTCCTATGAGTCATCACTAGAAATCCTAGAATACATCAATAGAAAAATAGTATCCACTATAAGACACATGATAGAAGAGAAAAGGAGTAAAATTGCAGACTGAGCAAGAGATTCACGATTCACAGTGCCATTAATAAATATTAGGTCTTTTAAAAATAAAAAATATGTATATATTTTTTATTGATTTCAGAGAGGAAGGGAGAGGGAGAGATGATTGATGAGAGAGAATCTAGAGGGATGAGTCTCTCTTTACGTGCCTCCTGCATGGCCCCAAACTTGGGATTGAGCCCACAACCCAGCATGTGCCCTGACCAAGAATCAAACCGTGACCTCCTGGTTCATAGGTTAATGCTCAACCACTGAACCACGCTGGCCAGGCAATTTTAGACCTTGATGTAGTAGACTATTCACAATTACATGCAAAACGAAAGTAAATTCTGAAGACCTGGAAAAAGAGGCAGCCTGAGAGGCAGGTCACTTTAGGGAAAGGTTCTTCATTGCTGCCTGGACTGAGAGATGCTGAGAAAGCCTTGCTCTTGCAAGCTGGCAATCCCCAAGTCGCCACCTACAGGAGGCTCCATTGGTCTGAGTGTCTTTAATTGGTGGCACACACCATAGCCCTGACTTTTCAACTGAGTGGGGGTGATTTTGTTTGGGTGAGAACATTTGAATCTCCAAGAATGTGTAAAAACAAGTAAAATCAAGTGCGATTTTGAATAAGTAGGCTTTATGGCATGTGGTAAAACATTTTGAAATCACTACATAATTTTGTGTGTGATTTATTTAGAATGTTTAAAATGCGTAAAAGAATATTAATCTCTGCATTTATCAGCCGATTTACTAGATTACAGAAGTTGCCACGTGTTTAGGAGGATTATATTAGCCAGAATCACAAATTTGTCTTATTAGGGTCTTGCATTTAGAGAATCAAATTTATTAGTTTTATAATTATAGCTTGATCTAAAGAAGCTTGATTGATCAAATTTGAATTCTATTAAGTTTATGGAAAAATTAAATAAAAATAACTTATTTTTTAAAGTTAGTACATTTATAATTTGAATAAGATCTGTATGTTGATTAAAAACAGACTTAAAGAGAAAATATAGCTTAAGATAAAATAATAAAAGTAAAGCTTACAACTAAGGTTAAGATTTATAACTTTGAGCCCTACATATTAATAAAGCTAAGGGAATTGAAATATTCCTTTGTATAATCAAAATCTCTCCTTGGCAATCAAAGTCTACTGGCACTAAGAGTAAGAATAACAGCCATTATGTGCTGAACACACATCCCATTGAGGGCCTGTATTGAGTACACTAAGAAGGAGAGATGGGTTCTATCACACTAAGCCCAGAGAACTGGGTAGGAAACTAATACATCATACCGAAAGCCAGAATGTAGGAAATGATATAGATATATGGACTTCGGGACACACCATCTTATATTTACACACTGGGGGCCTGGTGCACAGATTCGTGCACCAATGGGGTCCCTTGGCCTGGCCTGCACCCTCTCGCAATCCGGGACCCATCAGGGGATGTTGGAGAGCCGGTTTTGGTCTGATCCCTGCAGGCCAGGCTGAAGGACCCCACCGGTGCATGAACTGTGCACTGGGCCGCTAGTCCTTTATAAGAGGGTAATATGCAAATTGACCCTAACAACGGAACAACCGGTTGCTATGATGTGCACTGACCACCAGGGGGCAGACGCTCAACACAGGAGCTGTCCCCTGGTGGTCAGTGCATGTCATAGCTACTGGATGGTCAGCTAGTTGCTTAGGCTTTTATATATAGACTAGAGGCCTGATGCACGAAATTCGTGCAAGGGTCTCTGCAGGCCAAGGCAGCAGCAGCCCCGGCTGACATCTCGGCCCCCACAGCAGCAGCCCTGGCTGCTGCCTCGGCCCTTCAGCCCTGGCTTCGTCCGGAAGGTCATCCGGAATGTCATCCGGAAGGACACGCCATCCAGTCTAATTAGCATATTACCCTTTTATTATTATAGATGGTGGTACCGTGATGTTTCAGGTGGCTTAGCCTATAGAAAAGCAGTTTTCCAGAAGAGAAAGTTTTTATGGCATGAAGAAGTACCTTCTCCCTCCATCACAGCATGAGTATATTTGATAACTTTCTTATTTCCTAATTATGACAGAACCCCTAGTTCCTGAGGTACATTAAGTATCAAGTATATTCTGATTTGACCATTTCTCCATTCAAAAGCATTATTCAATACCATATACAAGTTCAGTTGTTTTCAAAGAAAGATTCATCCCTGAGTAGATCATTTGTCTTTATAATGGATATATAATGAGGCCAATGTTAGAAAATACATTTCAAACTCTACTCAAATGCAAATCATACAACAAATTACTTTTTAGGTAATTGTTTAGAATTAACATTCAGTACTTACAAAACTCTTAATCCATTGGTTAACGTTTCTGTGATTAGATACAAGTGGATAATGAAAGATTCTATACTGATCACTTTCCTTGATTTAGCAATTGAGAAAGAAATGTAAGAATAAACCCTGAAAGTATTTTTTAAAATCTTTAATATTAAAGGTTATTTTAAATTATGCATTTTTTTGATGATTTTTTAAATTAATTACTAGGAAGAATTTCCTTCAGTTAAAATATAGGCTTTTTCATATACTCAATATTTATGATTTTCAAATGAGCGCTTCCCCAGTTTTTATATTTACTCCACTCTAACTTGTATTTTAACAGCAATTTAAAAGCCAAGATTATTAAGTCTGTTTTAAAAATAAATTTAGACATTATGAGAGAAAGTCAATTGAGTTAAATAAAATTTGAAATTGCTTTAAAAGACATACAAATAACCTTAGAAACATACAAACTAGTTTTAAATGTCAAGTAATATAGTATACCTAAAAATATACTAAAATAATCAAGGGTAAAAGAAGGCAAGAGGTGGAAGATAATGAAAGAGGATTTAGAATGGAATGGAAAACACATACAGTGTATCTGTTAAGAATGGTTTGATGCTAAGGATTCAGTAATAATACAGTGATAACATGTGTTCCTACATATCCCATGTGCTAAGACAATGTCCTTATATTCCACATTCTTGAGCACAATCTCCTAAAATTAGCATAAAGTATCCAAGTCTTTAGTCTTATAAATTGGAGCAGAGACAATAAGATAAATAAGCCCTCCTACTGCCATTAAAAACAACAACAAAAACAAACAAGCTATCAACTGCCTCAAATCTCTTTCTGGGATAGAGCAAGGTACATACCTCTAAGTAGACAGCAAAGAAAGAAAACTTAATTTTGGTTACTATAATATCAGTTGTTAGTAGTTTTAACATGAGAAACTTCTTTAAATGAATTTTATTCACCATCCAATCAAAGATGTGTTAATATCATTTTTCTAGAGCTAACTCTTAATATCACATAATAGCTTTGTGATTAAAAATAACTGTGATAAAAATTTGAATACTTATTAAAACAACTTACTTTCTTCTTTCTTGCTCATAATGGCAGGCAGGGTGTAAATCTAAAAAACAAGGGGAGTCCATCAGTTACTTGCAGTTAATGACGCAGTACAGACGATTACCAGGGTGATACTGGTGCAGTGCTCCACAGAGGAGTGTCTTGATTCAAGGTCCTACAACTGCTGCATCCACAGCGCCACCTCCCCATCCTGTAACCAACCTTGCCTCCCATTCCTTTCATCCCTGGCTGTCCTGCCCTGGATAGAGTTCTACCTCCTTCCATCTGATTTACGAGTGTCATTCTATTCCCCAACATAATGCATAACAGCCCTTCTTGATAAAGTATCTCATGATGGGTTTTACCTGCTTGCTCTTTACTCAAATGATCTGCTTAGTGTGTTCTTTTCAGCACGTACAATCCTAACGTGTACTTGCTGAGCTGCCACGCTGTCTTCTACATCTGCTCTCGGTCAGATCTTGCCTCTCAGTTAAGTGGTGAAAAATCTAATGGTTTTGTTTAATTTTCAATCTACCATTGACTGCTATTTTTGTAAATTACAGTAAAATTTAAATATCATAATCATAATAAATAGATATGAAATCAAAATTTCTCGTTAAGTTCAACAAATATAAAATGACCTCTTCAAATTAGTACAAAATTTTCCAGATGCTTAATCATGAGTTCTGCGCTCATCTCCTCATGCGCAGGTAACTGTGTGAGGGGTGGTCTCACAGTCTGGAGACCACACTTGGTGCAGCTCTGCTGTGACACAGCCTTTGACAAGGTTGCTCACGGGTTCTCTGCCACCTATAGGACACTTCTCAAGGGACAGAATGTGGCCTCATAGTTGCTCTGTGTGCTCATCCCCTAACCATCTAAAGCCATATTCTTTATAAAGAAAACAGACAGTGATTAATAATTTATTTATTTTTAGATAAAACGCCCTAATAACTGTCAGTTATCATGCCAACATCAAAATAACTATTAGAAAAATAAGGATATGGATGAGAAGAAAATGTCAACTCACAGGCAGTTTTACCAAATAAGACTATAGGGTTAGCTCTTACCCTGCATCTTGTTTATCATGCCGATTACGAAGACCGTGCAAAGACTGGGAATTCAATAATTATTAACCAAATAGAATAAACTAATCAGTGAAGCCAAATTAATTATTAGAAGTAATTTTTAATAAATAATTTTAGGGTTTTAGTCGTGAAAGTCCTCCTGAGAAACAAATTACAAAGTTGGTGCTGTGTGTCAGTGAGCGAGACAACACCAGGAAAATAGTAAGTTTCTACTCAGATTTGGTATTTTAATATTTTCATATATTTACAGATATATAAAAATTTCAGATGTATTTTTTCCCAGACAGACTTTGTAATTATTAGAACAACAAAACCTAAATAAAGTGTGTTATATTCTTACTGGTTCTTTCCCATCCATGGCTTCGAGCCAGAGTTTCCGGTTAGCTTCTGAAAAGGCCTGCAATGTGATGATCCCATGCCTAACAAAAACAAATATTTTATATTTTTAATTTATTCCAGCTATGTATTTACACATTTACAATTTTTAAAATTCTTACTTAGCTATAAAAGTAAAATTTGAAGAAAAATCAGGAAAGAGAAAAAAGAAATAGAAAAGAGAGAAAAGAAAAAATAGAAAAGATAAGGAAAAAAAGGAATTAATTGATCTACACATATCTTTCAGAAAAATCACTATATACAACCACACCCACACACAGATATTTTTCATTCTAATGATCACAGGTAGCAACATAATTTAGTGTTCCAAGTACAAGTCTGTCTGAAGGAGGAAGTTCCAAATTATTTCCCCTGAAATGACTTAAAAGGATGATAACCACATTCATCTAAGTTCAAAACCACCTAAACATTCTACAAGATGAGGATAACTGAGAGTATGACCCCAATGTGACACAATCTAGTCACTAAAAATAATTACAATGAGTACATAGCAATGTGGAAAGCCTCAGACCATAACTAGTTAATTATTAAGAAGATCCTAAAACCAAAGGGTTTATCTGCACCATGATCACAATATTAAAATTACTTCATTTAAAAATAATTATCTCCCAAGAACTCATTCTGAAATAAGATGTACTTCAAGAGAGACAGAGTGAGCGAAGGGAGAGAGGAATTTGATATAAGAGAGAAAAAGGTATGAAATCCAAAAACAAGGGGAATTAACCTAGTTAACAGGAAATTTCACTTAAATATTGTATGTTTAAAAACCTGGAATGACTTAAAACTATGATAAACGCATATATCTCTTCTGTAAACAGGAACTAGGTCATTAGACAGGAAAAGAAAAAACATATATAAAAATCGAGGTAATTTTATCTTTGAACCAGTGTAACAACATCAAGAATAAAATAACAATGATCAGTATTTGCTGGCTGTTTAGTATGTGCCAGGCATTGTGTTGTTTCCTTTGAGGTGGGTAATTATTATTTTATTTTACATGAGACCACTAAGGCATAGTTTAACCATGTGCCCCAAAGTTATATAACTAGAAAAGGCTTAAATTAAAAAAAGAGAGAGAGAGAAATCACTAACATGTTGGTGTTTGTCTACATAGAAAATCAAGAAATTCCTACTGCACTACTATAAAAACCAATAAGTTCAACAACGACACTGGTTATCAGTCCATATAAAATAAAAATAATAGCCTTTCTAGACAGTAATCTCAACCATTTCGAAAAAAGAGTTTTACTAATGAAAAGAATTCTATCCAAAACTGTAATAAAAATACCTAAGAATAAATCTAAAAAATAATATGTAAATCTTCAAGGAGAGTTTAATTCTCCATCAGTTATTTAAAAAACTTAACTCCAGTCAAAAATCCCAAGGGAGTGTTTTGAAGAGGAAGATAAACTTAATAAGAAGATCCATAACATCTGAGAACACAGGGCCACATAGGTAACACAATGTTAAAGCAGCATAAGAATGGGAGTCTTGCCCTACCAGATAGTTAGAAGCCATGGTACACGTAAGCTATAGTACATATCGTGACCATGGAATAGATAAAAAATCAAGAAGCACACCCCTTTTCATTTTGTTTCTCTTCAGCTTGTATTGACACCAGAAAGGAGTAGAGCTAAATATCCCCACTAAATTATAAACTCGGGTGCACAACATTTATGTCTCTCCCAATATGCTGTGGCTGAGAGAGTCCTGGTAGGTGCTTGGCACAGGGCGCACACTCCCTTTCACTGGCTGAAGGAGCTTGTGACATTCCCAGCTTATTATTCCTTAGAAGCAAGGCCCCCAGGCTCCACAGACGCCTACAAACAGGCTGACCCAGGAGCCAGGGCTATGCTGTCGGGCTCCTTCACTGTGACGGGGTCCCCAAGTCCCCGGCATGCACTTTCCCCTAATGTTGTCTGTCATTTATATTGATTTTCCAGATTCTGCTTTGAGTTATGTTACTTTTTGCTAGCATTCTGTGTCTGATTATTTTTTTAAAGAATCGTGCAATATGTATTTGTCAAATGAATATGTAAAAAAATGAAATAAATATGCACACTGTTTTTAAAAAGAGATTGGAAGACAAGCACTTGCATGCTGCTTTGTATTTATATTTAAACACAGAAACAACTAAACGTAAAGTAAAAAGAAAAGCGCAAACCTTTCAACTACTTCTATGTCAAAGCAGAATCGTTTGTCAATTGAATCTGTCTTTCGTCGGATACAAGATTTTAATTTAAACATTTCTGGCGAGCTGGTGACAAGGCCGTTCTGCAACAAGAAGGGGAACACATGTTATCACGATGACGAGGTAAACTGAAAAACATTCAATCTTCCACCTAAAAGTGCGGCACTGAAAGGTAAGCTTAGAGCACAGGTGATGTATCAAGGTCATAATGACACCATGTCCTACATACAAGACTTTCTGCTGAATGTCAACTGCCCAATTATTAGTATAATATTCCAAATTGTTCATTAATAGGTTCATTGCATATATGTGTTTCATTCAAAGGATTCTGTGACATGGCTGTCTAGTGCACCTCAACATATCTATAACAAAAGCGCAATATGCTAATTAGACCGGATAGTTGAATGACCTTCCAGACCTCCTTCCGGATGAAGCCAGGGCTGTGAGGGTTGAGCCCCTTGCACGAATTTTGTGCATTGGGTCTCTAGTTTATTTATAATGTAACTTGCACTCTAATACACATGCCTTTGGAGTTCAATTTAGAAAAGGTGTGAAATAACAGTCACAGTAATGTCACAACTAGATAGATATCCAGAATGTTTGTCGGGATACAACACCGTTGCTCTGAAAAAAATTTCCCAGATTGCTAAGAGATTAGTATTGTTTGTGTCTTTGTATTAGATCCTTATAATATTAAATGATAGCTGGCTGAAAACCTCGAGAGAGCTACCAAAATAATAAAGTTCAGGTATACAATTGCTATGATGCTATTGTTATCATACATACCATGTGATTGCTTTGTTGGTAACCAATTGCTACTCTGCTACTAACACTGAAACTCTTTGGATAGGATCCAAAATTGGCTCAATAAATAAGAATTTTCTTCTATACCTGACATGCCAGCCAATTTTAAGGGGAATGCTTACCTACTGTCTGAATAATTCTTTTGTCTATTGAAAATGTCATAGATTTACTAACAGAACTTTGGCAGGGCCTATGTGATATTAGCTCACTGGCTGCCACATAAACTGTCTTTCTGACAATAGCTTTTCTTATGAACCCTTTAGAGAAGAAACTAGGCATGATTATAGCATTTAATGCCTTCTCATGATGGTGGCCACCTAAAGTTTCTTTTTCTCTGGCATGTTGTCCTTTATTTTATGTCTCTCCATTTGAATTATTAGACTCTAATGAATGCCCAAGCACAATAAGTTTCAACTGATGTATTTGAGTATGTGTCAAGGATCAACATTTACCTGCCATGAGCTGTACCACAGATTAGCTGGGCGAGTCACTTACTTTCTACCATCTTGATTTTCTAATCTGTTAAAATAAGGCCAGACTAAACGATCTTTAAAAAAGTACACTACGTTCCATATTGTTCACTAGCCATGTGAGACATTCAGTGGCCAATTTACTTTTGCGGGGAATGGGCACTGGTCAATTTCTCCTACGAATCTTTGCTGGGCCAGCAGTTCAGTAAACAGCACACAGGGCAGAAGATGAGAAGGTTCCAGGGGCAAAGGCATACCTCCCCAGAGGCCACCTGGGAAAAGATGCAGATTTGGGCCTGGTCCAGCCACTGGCAGCCCCTCCTGGGCTACTGGCCAAGCAACAGCACAGTAACAAACCACTACCAGGTTGTGAGAGGGCGCCTCAGGGCCCCGGCCTTTAATTCAGCTGCTTATCAGCATGCCATGGCCATGGTAAAGGAAAATCCTGGCCACTCTTTTTAAGTCACCAAGGTCACCAAAGTGAGAGAAACCTTTGTGGCTTTTCAATTTTTAAAAATTGTGTACACGTTTATTAGAAAAGCAAGGGGTTTTTTGTTTGTTTTACTTCCATTTCTTTCTTGTTTTAAAACTTCTAACGTGTTTTGTATTCTCTCTTTTTTTAAAATTCTTTGTTGTTGAAAGTATTACACAAAACCCCCTTTTCCCCCATTGACCTCTCCCAGCCCGCCCCGGCCACCCCCCAGGCCTTCACCACCCTATTATCTGTATCCATGGGTTATGCATATATGTATACAAGTTTGACAGTCTGTTCAATGTTCTATGTTTCCTCCCCTGCCTTCCCTCTGAGGTTTGACAGTCTGTTCAATGTTCTATGTTTCTGGATCTATTTTTGCTCATCAGTTTATGTTGTCCGTTTCTTGAATAATAACCTCAGTTAAAAATAAAAACAAAAACTCACCATTTTCCCACTGGATTTCATTTCTGAAACACTCATTGTAAATGTTTTGCTTCCTTTATCGTACGTACAATAATGTTTAATCCATGTAAAACCAAGTGGTCCTAATGCAAGGAAACAAACGTTACAGACTGTTAATAAATGACTAGTTTTCACATTTGTACAGTTTTGCTTTTTTAAAAATATATGTTTATTGATTTCAGAGGGGAAGGGAGAGGGAGAGAGAGAGAGAGAGAGAGAGAGAGAGAGAGAGAAACATCGATGAGAAAGAATCATTAGTTGGCTGCCTCCTGCATGCCCCACACTGGGGATCGAGCCCACAACCCGGCATGTGTCCTTGACTGGGACTCGAACTGCGACCTCCTGGTTCACAGGTGACGCTCAACCACTGAGTCACACCGGCTGGGCTGTTCAGTTTTTGATGCGACAATAAACAATTGAGCATTTCCACAGACCATGTAAGTTTGGAACTTTTACTGAATGAGCGTGAGAAGGGCAAGTATGGAGAGAGAGTGGTATGGGGTAGTGTCTTGGAATTGAGCCACGTGGCCTAACTTGAAGCTTTGACTATACACTCGAGAGTTCCTTTAGATCTGAACTGCAGTTGTCTCATGTGTAAAAGTGGTACTTACATCCCATAGAAGTAGGAAGCATGAGGAGTAACAGTCTGAGTTACTATCGCTGGTCTCCTTCTTGCCCTCTGTTCCTGAAACTGCTAAAAATTTAGCAACGTCATGTCACCCCTCTGGTTCTAATCAAACCCGCATCACTCCAGAGAAACAGCAAAGATCCTGTGACGTCCCACCAGGCCCCTCCCTAGGGCTCTCACCTCACATCTTACTACCCTTTGCTTCATGCACTCCGCTCCAGCTACACTGGCCCCTTGCTGATCCCTAAACACAGCGAATGCACTTCTACTCAGGGCATCTGAAGCAGCCTGCACGCCTCTTCCTCCAGACGTCAGCATGGCCTGCACTGTCGCCTCCTTCAGGGCTTTTCCTAAATGTCTCCTTCCTAGTACTGCCTTTCCTGAGACAGCTCACATAGCAACACCCTCACCAGATATTTCTTGCTTTACTTTCTTCTTAGAAGCTATCACTAAATTCTACTTGATGCATCCTACTTATTGCTTGTCTCTGCCATTTAGACTCTAATTCTCTAGGAGCAGGAAAGCGTGATGTTCTGCTGACTGGTACATTCTTAATCCGTAGAACAGGGCCAGATACATAGTTGTCACTCAATAAATATTTGACAAGTGAAGGAAAAGGAAAGAATCACTCATCTTTCTTTAAGACTTTATTGACCTTAGAGTTATTTCCTCTTACCACTAATCTGAAAAGAAAAAAGTGAATTTAAATAACTTCTTAAAATGAAAATGTTTCATTCACTATGTATAGTATAAGTTTTATATGGATAGTGCTCCCTTTCCCCCCATAAATACTGTGCAACCCTTTCCCACAGCACTCCCCTTACAGTCCTATATTCTCTCCTTAAGGAATGGGACGCCGCTGGTTGGCCAGGGTGGAGGGATGCATTGTGACCAAGGTAGGCGACCTTCAGTTTCCACACAGGGAAGCCAACTATCCTGGATCCAAATGTCACAGTGGCCGAGGGCCTTGAAGACGGAGCTTGTTTTCTAGGCAGCTTCTATCCTGCTTAACACCTGGTTCTTTCTAGCAACAATTATGTACAATATTATTGCTGCCGTGGTCTCATAACCATCTATTCAGAAGCAAGAAATGTGAATGTGAAAGTGCATCTCTTGAGGAAAGTGTTTCATGAGCCATTTGAATTTATTTTTTCCGCAATAACAGTGCCCTGGGTGTCGTGTGGCGTTAATGCTTAAACTGCTCCAGATTTTAAAAAGATGGGGTTTGGCGGTACACTTCGTCATCACAAAAGGATTTTGCAATTAACTTCAATTCTGTTTGGGGAACATTTTACACTATAATACTTAACAATACTTGTTGATAATTCTGTTCCGTGTGGTGTAAAACACTTAAAGGCTTAGAGCTGATTAGCGGGAAGTGGCTGGATGGAAATCCTTACAGTGACTTTACTACTCAGCGATGTAGGAAGCAGTATTAGCCATCAAGTATGGCCACAGTAATGCTCTGATGACATTTTAGACCTCGGCTTAGTTTTTCTTTCCTGCCTCCACCATAAGTGCAGCATCTCAAGCATTTATAATCTTCAGGTCTGCTGCACACACGTGCTGCTTCCTTTAAGGTCTGCCTGGCACTGGGCCCAGGCAGATGTTGTTACACCAGCAATTCTGAAGTCCTTAAAAAACAGTCTTGGAAAATAAAAATTTATTATAGCTCTAAAGTAGCAAAATAAAACAAGTTTAATTATCTTACCCAGTAATCATATGAGGTTGCCAAGATGATGCTTACAAAATGGGAGGAAATGAACATTTATGGAATACCTTTTAAGTGCCAAAATTTAACCTAAGAACTTTTTAAGTGATACTTTATAATGCCATTTTACATATAAGGAAACAGAGCATTAGAACTGCACATGGTACTACTTCCTTCATCAATAAGGCATGCGATGGGAATTGTTCTTTTTAGGGAATACTACCTCTCAAGAGTTATTTTAAGAATTATAAATGAGATAAATGTAAATTGCACAGAGCAGTAAGAGCTCCTGGTATGTATAGTGGTAGTATTATGCACCACCGCTGATAATAGGGACATTTTACATACATTATCTCCAATTCCTGCAACACCCTTACAAGATAAGTACAAATCTCCCTCTTTTACAAATGAGGAGACTGAGCTCAGAAAGCTGTCCGCCCAGCACCTCCCAGTTAACAGGGGGCAGGCACGGCATTCCGGCGCAGTTCTGTCTGACTCTGGAGCCAGGCTATCCTCAAGCCTATTAGAATGCAATGTAATGTGTGCCTAGAGGTGGGTAACATAGCAACCGCATCTCCGACAACGGGGAGCTCTGTGCCCTGACTGCAATGATCTGCCTCTGCCCCATTGCGGCCACCTCCATTTGTCACTCCATTTACAGCTCTGATAGCTGCTATTGATCACTGGCTGCTGACTGCGTGAGTTTGCCTTATGCCTTCCACTACAGAATAAACGCCCAGAAGCCATTTCTTCATCTCATTTTCTGTTCCCCACAGGACTTATCCTCTGTGATAGCAACAGCCCAATTGATATGTCTTCGTGGACTGGTCAAATTTTTGTATTATAAATGCTTTCAAAGATTCCCAGTGGAAAGGGGCTTTGGATATTTGTCCCTTGCGTAAAAATAATTCCAAAGGCGTATAAATCCATGAATTTTTCTTTTTAAATCCCCAGGTAAGGGGAAGGAGGAAAGATGGTCAATGGGAAAAGGAAAGAGAGAGGGATTATGTCGGGGCTGGAGAGCACTTCTGAAGGTTGAGTGTGGTGATGGTATCACAGGTGCATACTTAGGGCAAAACCCTTCAAACTGTACATTTTAAGTATGTGCGATTTATTATATGTCAATTGTACCTCACTAAAGCTGTACAAATAATGCAGGGGATACAGAGAAAATCGAGAGAGAAAGTGTCTCGGGGGCAAGAAGGCAACATAAAAAAGGAGGATGCCAAACAGAGAGGGAGAGTCTGCCTGTTAGAGCCTCGAATGCCACACTCCTTAGGGGCCTTCCCAGGAGGGGCACTAGAGTTATCATTTCAATATCTGAAAATAGACTTGTCAAAGTAGACAGTTATGAGACAAACTCCCAGAACCCAGTTCCCCTGAGCCAGCAGCCCTCTACCATCTAGTCTACAATAAATGTCGGCCACGTCTGTCAGATCAAATTGTTATTTTCTTATACTACCAGCCAACCACTGAGCATTACCTGAGCACGTCAAATACACATTGGGTTGCATTTTAGTGACCATGTTGCTCTGTGTTGAAACGCTTACAGCCGATCTGATCTCTCCAACTTCCCCATCCCAAACCCTTTAATATCTTACTAACCAAAACAATTCCCTCACTCTCTTGTGTACTGACAGGGAGACTTCAGAGCAGTGCCATTTCATGTGGTTGGTGGGTCCCAATAAATGTGAAAAATACAGAAAGCATACATAAGCATTTTCTTTTTCTTTTTTTTTTTTTTACAGCAATTTGAAATTGCAAAATGCAAGCACATGCTTTTGTGTTTTACAAAGACATTGGTCCATGATGGATTGGAAAAAAATTGTTCCTTCAACACGAAGAGTATGAGAATGGTGCTTTAGGGCATATGTGATTTGAAATAGTTAATTTAGTCAGACTGCTCCCACTTAGTGACAAGTATCATTCAGAAAGGATCCTTGTTAAAGAATTCTGAGTGACTTTTTATTTATTTTTGTGAGATAAACTTTCTGAGTGTGAGGCAATTATCATCATGCTCTATTGGGTCTGATGCTTATTTCCTAACCTCAAGAAGCAAAGGGTGCAGTGTGACATTACACAGTTGCCAGTTTTATTCCTGGAAACTGAGAAAACACAGAAGTCAATGAAATGATGCGGTTGGAAGGGAACACTTATCACAGTCACCGGGATGATTCATCCTGAAAAAGGCTTTGATTTTTCAATTTTCCACCAAACTTTAAATTGAGATTAGATATCACAATAAATTCTAAAACTGAATTTATGTTGCCCTATCATTAGCAAAAAGTTATAAGTTCCAAGTTCAACAATATAAACTTAGAGATGCTGGTGGTGAGATGTGAAAAAGCTTCCTTTCTGTGGTGGTGATGGTGACTGAGCTGACTAAATACCATAAATTGGAAGGGATTTCCATCTCTACTTGAAGGAACACTAACCAAGTCACATCTCGTGGAAACAGAACGTTAACCATAGAGACATTAGGTTGTGTTTTTGTGACTCACTTTTCTCCTGGACGTAAAGGTAGCCTTCCATTGTCCACTGGCTGGGTGGTCTGTAATCTTGGTTGGCAGATTTCATCCTTTGCATCAACCGCTCTACCTCTTGTCGAGTACTTTCAAAATTATTCCTTGTCTTGAGTAAATAAAAATAACAGATTCAGTCTTTCTTTCCTACCTGTTTTGAGGAACTCAGAACCAGAAGTTTCAAAACTGCAAATTATGCAAAGGATAACCTCAATTCTTTCAGCACTCCTCACCCACCTACATGACACGCTATGTTGAGTCCTATGGCTGATGTTGAACGGCTTTAGTGAAACTTCTGCATGTTTCTCAGTCTCAATCTGTGTGTATATGTGTGTGTGTGTGTGCACGCGTTTGAGCGCATGCATGTTGTACGTTTCTTCCCATTTCCCACTCTAATATTATTACTTAGTGGCCAATTATAGCATTTTAAATTATGTAATATTTACTCAATATAATTTTATAACACTAATGCCTAAGGTTAAAAAGCAGATACATAGGGACTTATTTTTTTTTGGGGGGGGCTGGGGGGGAATAAAAACAAATTAAGTTCACATATTTTTAAGTATGTAGCACTTATTTAAAACAAAGTTCATTGCCCTTGTTTCAAATACTTTTGAAGAAACATTGCTTAGCTTGGTTTCCAGAAATCCCAACATAGTTATCATGAGGTCAGTATATAAACTAACTCATAAAAAAGGATAGGTTTGCAAGAAATAGTTTATTCACATTACAGCAAATTTACTTAAGGTAAAATATGTTTTGTAATCAAGCCACGCTATCTCAACAATACACATTTAGAAACATAAAAATCATCACTGCCTAACTTAAGACTTTGTTATGGCCCGTAATAAAATAACTGTATTTTCTTAATTGCCACTTTTGGTACTTTTCTCTTTCCAACATAAGGATCACAGTTTTTTTCCTATTTTTTACCTGTTGCCAAGTCCCAGGAATCTTAAGTTAATCACACTTTATATGAAGATAAGTCATAAAAATACTTTAACTATAATAAATTGTCTCTTTCAATATTTACTGAAAAAGCCCAAATGCATTCCATATTGAAAAACAATGGGATGAATTGCATATGAAATCAATTCTGCAAGAAAATCTAGGTTAAATAAAAAGCTAAAACTCAAAACACAAGTAGAATAAATTCAATCCAATTACATATTGCTCCCGGGACCCTCCAACTCAATAGCTCTATTTATTGGACATATCCACAATGGCAAAACTCAGATACACAGTGAAGGCCAAGTTTTTTACCGAAAATTCAGTGAGAGCTTTCTGATTTAGTTAAGCTCCGGAGTACTAGACAGGGTTTTAGAAATAACTTCTCACTTATACAAAACCCTGAACAACTGGAAGGTCATTATTTGTCAGGCTTAGACAATAAGAAAATGTATTAGCTAATTTTTTAATGAGGTGTTCAGCAGCTATGTAATTATATAACTATGTAATCAGATATCAAAAGGATTGATTAGACACCTTTACAAGAATAAAGCCTGACAGAAATAGATAGGATGTTTGTAAATAATTCTTACTTAAGCTTTAAAACAGCTGCTTTTGAATATTTCAAACCATGTTCAAATTTATTATTTGAAAGTAATAAACATCAGATATATTGTATGTAACTTCATACATGGATGGGGCATCAGAATGCCACAGTACAACCTTCGTTTCATAAATAAATGCTGCCCTCTCAGAAAATAAAACATACCTAAGTTCACCCAATTAAGTAATGAGAACACTGGGTATAGGCAAAAGTTTCCAAATGTCCAGGCGTCTACATCTCAGCAGTATTTATTTTATAATAAATATTTCCTTGTATACATTTTCCTAATATTAAGTTGGCTCTTTCCTGCTGTACTTTCAACCAGCAGCTAGAAATCAAAACATTTTAAAATAAATTTATAATGTGGCTTTTCTAAATCAATGAGGTTTTACTGTATTAGATAAGGTTTGGAAAGACTCCCCGGTTTGGCCTGGTTTGAACCTAGTTGCGCTATGATCATCCGATTCACTAAGGAGGCAGTGAGAACAGGTACAGCCTTACATTCTGCAAGTTGAACTGCAGCTGTTGTTTATATGGTGCAAATTCCTGGGCGAGTTCATATCCCTCGTGGTAAAAAGTAAACAAACCCTGAAGGAATGACAAAAGCTGCAAAAATAAAAAGATAAAAAAGAAGCCATGAAAACGTGTTTTAAAAAACATGACCATCAAACATAATAAACTGGGGAAATGTCATTTCATTCTAAACCCTCAGCTAATAAGTTTTCAATCTCTTTGGCAAAGCCCGCACTAAAATTACGGATGTGAAACAGAACCCACAAAAGCCAATTTTTAATTCCTTTTTAGTAGACAGTGATTTAATTTCTTAGTCTTGTCAGGGACAGCTGTCATATTAACTACTCGCATATTCAAATGTATTGACCATTGAGGAGAGACCACTAATGGGGAGAAAATCCAAAGACACGTAGCTCCTGCTCCAGAAGAGCTTCTAACCGGAGCGGGAAGGTAAGACACGCAGATGTGAGGAAGACCAAAGCAGTGAGTTACAGAGACACCCAACAGGAGTTAGGGTTTGGCCAGATGAAATGAAGGAAAAATTCACAAGGTGGCAGTACTGACCTGGGTATTGAATAGACATTTTCGCAAGGAGTGGGAAGAAGGCAAACCAGGGAAGACGGAAGCAAATGCAGGGAGACAGACACAGATCTTTCATATAAAAATTAAAGAAAAATCCTCTCTAGCAAAGCACAATTCCTATGATCTTAGCCTTCTTATGTGCTCATTTATGATGTTCTTATTCTTGCAGTAAGAGTGGCTCTCCATGCAATTACAGGACACAATTGTTGATAAGTTATAACTGAAAAATAATTCAATTGTTTTTCATTTAATTCACTGTAATTTTTTCCCCCCAGACTTGTCCAACAATTCAATCTCTTCCTCAACTTCTTCTAACAATAAAATTGAAAATATTTTTGAAGCCCCGACCAGGTAGCTCAGTTGGTTAGAGCATCAGCCCCATATGTCAAGGTTGCGGGTTAGATGCCAGGTCAGGGCGCATACAAGAAGCAGCCATACGAGAATACATCAATAAGTGGAACAACAAATCCATGTTTCTCCCTCTCTCTCTCCTCTCTCTCTCTCTCTCTCTCTCTCTCTCTCTCTCTCCCTCCCTCCCTCCCTCCCTCCCTCCCTCCCTCCCGTCTTCTCTTTCTCTAAATCAATAAATAAAATATTTTTAAAAAATTAAAAATATTTTTGAGAAGTGACTAATGATTTTCTAATTCAAATAGCATAGTATGTCTGTAAGCTATTATTTTAAATTGAGGAAAAAACAATTTTACATCAACTGAAAATTAACAAAACTAAATACTCAATAGATCATCCTTTATTAAAGAGTTGATATAATATTTCTCAAATTAACCAGTAACTTAAAAAGAACTATAGCTTATGAAATGGGACTACAAGATACCTTTAATTAATTGGGGCTTGGATGTGTACGTTTACAGATTTTCAGAGACAAAATAAGAAAATACTTTTGAGGTATAAAGAAAACACTGGTGTTCTAAATATCCAAATAATAGGTAATGAAGTTGTTAAAAGGAGTGTTGCTTCATGTTATATAATTAGTCCAAATTTAAACTGTCTTATGAACTGAATGCAACACAATGAAAACGCTATTCTAATATTATCCTAAGGACAAAGAATTCAATTAAACATGAAAAAGATACTTTAAGAATATCTGCAATAAATTTTCCTATAGAACACCCAATTCCCCAATATCCATCTAAATAAATAAGTCTTTTGGCATCTTCTAGCAGATTTCAGATGCACTACATAGCAGATAAATATATTTTAATCTTATAATACATGAGTAATGTAACACCCACGAGGAAATGTACAATCCTTAGGAAAGTACAGAAAAATTATATTCAAAGAACCACCACCTTTTCCTTTTGTTTCATATCTACTTTGGAAATAGGTTTGGAGAAAGTATGACAAAGGCAGCATCCATTAAATAACTGCCTCTAGATGGTAGCAAAATTAAAAGTTTTTTTAGGTTTGAATATATAATATACTAGCTCATTTTATCCGAAACAAATTTCATGATGCTAAAGTAAGGGAACTTCATAAGACAGCCTGCATCTTTAAGAATTGCATTTCCCACATGTCATTTTCTTTGTTCAATCTGCCTGAATGGGTACAGTTGTATGGAAAAGACTACTGTGTCTCAGCCTGCCTTAAACTTATCCTGACCTTTAATATAATAAAAATAATAATAATAACAACAACAACTACAAACGACTAGATAGATTAGGTTTTAATATTAAGAAAGTCACTTTTATCATCAGGAAAAAGTCAAGTAGCACTTTATTATTCCCAAGAATTTTAGAATCAAATTAGATTTTGTCATTCCAGTAACCTGACCAAATGTGGAAATTGATACTGCATTACATAGATAAGTAATCATTTAGAAAAACCCTTTACAACTCAGCAAAGGAATGAATATTCAAAATTTCCCAGTCCATTAATCATCAGGTTTCAAGCCTTAAGGGCTCAGAGTTGCCAGTGATACTGTGAATGGCAGAGAAAAGTGAGGAAAGGGGTTGGGAAGGGAGGAACTCCAAAGCAACTGATGCAGTAATTCCAGATGACTGTTGCCCAAACTGAGCAGAATAAGTGGGATGTAAAGGCTCTTATACTGATGTGATTCATTCCTTATCTCCTAAGAAATTCATCACCGAAAAGCCCAACAAATCCACTAACACACACACACACACACACACACACACACACACACTTATTATATACTAGAACTAGTAAGTTCAGCAAAGTTGCAGGATACAAAACTAATATACAAAAATCAACTATATTTGTATACACTTGCAATGAATAACCTGAAAATACAATTTAAAAACAATCCCATTCACAATAGCTGCAAAAAGGATAAAATACTTAAGAATAATTTTTTTAAAAAGAAGTACAAAATTTATAATTTGCAAAGTACAAAATGCTGTTGAAAGGTCTTAAAGAATGTCTATATAAAAGGAAAATATTTCATGTCCATGGATTGAAAGACAATATTGTTAAGATGGCAATACTCCCCAAATTGATGTGCAGATGTAATGAAATCCCTGTCAGAAGCCCAGTTGACTTCTTTATAATAATGGATAAGCTGAGTCTAAAATTCATATGGAATAGCAACAAACCTAAATCAGTCAAACTAATGTTGAAAAGATGAAAAAAGTAGTTTATTTCCGAACTTAATGCAATGCAATAGTAATCAACTGTGCGATACTAGCTCAATGACAGTCCTATAAACAATGAAAGAGAATTGCAAGAGAGTCTAGAAATAAACCCACATATCTATGGTGAACTTATTTTCAACAAGGGTACCAAGACGATAAAATGAATCAAGAATAGTCTTTTCAATCAGTGATTCTTGGACCACTGGATAGACAAATGTAAAAGAATGAAATTGAATGCCTACTTCACACCATCGATCAACATGAACTAAAAATGGGCACAATGTATGCATGCTATGTGAATTACATCCCAATAATACTGTTGTAAAATACAATAAAAATAAACACTTCCCATCCGCAAAGCACCGGCATGCTCTAGAAGAAATAAAAATCGTATGTATTCCTCTACATTTGCCCACTGAAACTCCTGAGAAGATTGGGAAAGTAGGGCAAGGCAAGGAGCCTCCGCTGTTCCTTACTTGGAGGAAACTTAGAGGGAAATATCTTAAAGGATAGACTCAAAACGACTATGAAGTATTTTAACTCTAACACATATATATTCAGAGGAGTTTACTGAGAAGAAATGAGGGGGTATCAAAACCTAACCAATAAATGAGGAATGTGAAGAGAAAAGAGGGCCAAGGGTAGAAAGAGGTTGATCAGCTGTGGCCTGGGCTGACAGCGTGTAAAGCTGGATGATAAAAGAAGGACGGAAGAACAAATGAATAGACAGAGATGTAACTGATTCAATTCAATTTAAAAAGCTAAAACTCTGAAGTTGTGGCTCTATAACACCGCCTCGGCAGTGAAGAGCCATTGGAGTTCCTGAAGGCGGATTTCTACACATTCAAAGGGATGGCATTCAGATGAAGTGGCCGGACAGAGCCTTCTGTGGGAAAGGGACAGAAGCACTGAGCAATAAAGTCAGCTTATCTCTTTGGATCGATAGGAATGAAGGAGGCAATGCAGGCAACAAGGTAATTAAAGCCCCGCTGAAGCTGCGTTCGGACCAAGCCTTCCCAGGATGGATTTCTGAAATGAAGTTCAAGGGGATGAGTCAGCCAAACAAATAAAATGTATTTTTCTTACTTTTCCAAAATTCTATTAACTGTCTAACTACTACTGTAAATTGCAGATGTTTTAATAACAGGACCTAGAACTAAATAAAAGGGCCAGCACAGATTTTATTTTAAGGTATATGACCTAAAGAGAGATTTGTTGTTTCATTTTTATACGATGAATGCTCTTAGATTTTCAGCAGGATCGAAATTTAACCTTTAGTCCTACAGAGCTTTTTAAAAAATGACATTGTCTAATTTGCTCACTTCGATTCACTTCTATTAACTGTCTAACTACTACTGTAAATTGCAGATGTTTTAATAACAGGACCTAGAACTAAATAAAAGGGCCAGCACAGATTTTATTTTAAGGTATATGACCTAAAGAGAGATTTGTTGTTTCATTTTTATACGATGAATGCTCTTAGATTTTCAGCAGGATCGAAATTTAACCTTTAGTCCTACAGAGCTTTTTAAAAAATGACATTGTCTAATTTGCTCACTTCGATTTACCTTTAAATTAAATTTTCTATATGAAAGCTATCCAATCATATTGAAAAAGAACACAAAAAGATTTAACTTTCAAACCTGCAGATGTAGCTCATTGTTTAAAAATATGTAAATGTCCCCTTTTTTCCATGTTTGGGCATTTTCCCCGAGCTTTTCCTTGAAATAATGACCCTGTATGAATATTTATTTCTGATACCACCTATATGTTCTGCAGAAGTTTTATCACAAGTAGTGAGGTCTTGATATTAATTGAAACAGTGTAAAATAATCTCAAATGCTCATCATAAAGAAAGTTATTTAATGCATATCACCAGGAGTATTTATATTATCTACTTGTTACCTTACAATCTCTGAGATAAGACACATCCCGGGGGTATTTTGCTTTACTCTAATCCTTGATAAATAAATCTGGGCTAACTGGAATAGACTGCTAGATTTGTGCAATGTGAACAGGAATTGGATTTCTGCAGAACAAAAACTGCAAAGATATTGAAGTATCCTCATGTGTTTTTATGTCCGTCGCTCCTGGGAGCTTTGTTTTTGAAATTTTAAAAACTCTTTTCCTCCAAATTAATTTGTAAATGCACAACCTAAAGAGCAAATGCCCATGTTTCATTGCTCCCAATCCTATTCTTCTCATTATTGAAATGGAAATTAAGTAAAACCCCACGGAAGAGACTTTGCAGCTAGAAATGAAAACGAGACTAAACTGACAGTACTGTTTGGTTTGGCCAGACATTCTAATAGGAAAAACACAGCAGCCAAGAAAATATTTTGGAAGAAAGACAGATTTAAACATCGATTTTGATTGTGGTGTCACAGGAAAGGCATGCATTGCAGAAGGCTTCAGACCGTCCCAGTTTGGGAAACGGTAGAGAGAAGGAAGAAAACTCGTTTCAACAGGAGGACAGTTTCCACTCCTCTACGTGTATTATGGCAGCAGTTCACAAATTCCTACCATTCCTTCTGTCACCTGTGAGCGCACGACTTTACAGCCTTCCCCTTATAGACCTGATGTCACAGGACAGAATGGTCTAGCTCACTGTTCCCAGACAGGATGGGCCATGAACAGAAGCTCTGATGGGAAAATGGGCTCCCTGCATGTCCCTCAGAAGCGGAAGAGGGATTCCAGATGTACAGGGATGACTGCAGGTGTAAAGGGGTCATTCCAGGTGAGGAAGAATCGTGCAGCACATGAGCACAGTATGCGAAGGCAATGGGAACGGGAAAGGAAGAAGTATGAAGGAAAACTGTCAGAACGAAGGGGGTACTCCAGCAGTTTACTGTCAAGAAGAGCTAAAATTTGGAAATCCCAAGAGGCCATCCCCAGGAGGAAGCCTTGTAGCGAGTAGAGGGGCCTTCAAAACCCTGGTAGGATTGGAGGCAGAACTTAGTCCATGAGAAGGGAGTAGTAATGCTAAGTGCTGGTTATCTACCCAGCCTAGGAGCTGCTAGGCTGACCAGCTACCATGAACCCCAGATGAGCTTCAGAAGGCCGTTGGAGAAAAGTTGAATCAGATCCTCAAAGCATCTACTAAACAGGGGTTACCGAGTCATTCCAAGGGGTTTAAGGACTAAGCTGTTTGGCAATCAGAACTTGAGCTTCAGGCTGCTATCTCAAACAAGAGGTAAAAGTTAATTCCCGGAGCCTGCGTGTGGCTTCTAGTTCCCTAAATCCCTTTAGCTGAGGGGCTGGCCCTATAGACTTGTCCAGGGCCCAGTTTACAGCGGGAAGTTGGGTGGCTCCAGCTGACGGAGGGGAGGGAAGCGGGGTGCTGAGCCACACGGGGACTGGACACTGCCCAGCCTCCGCTGTCTCGGTTTCCCATCATCTTTAGGGCATCACAGAAGGGTTTCCATCGGGAAATATATTTTGGCAACTATATTTTGAAGTGTGCTTTTCCTTCCCTTTTCCCTATCACTTCCTCTAAAATAGGAAGAATGTGTTTTCTGATTACAAATAGATTTTTTTTTTCACAGAATGACTGACATAGGAAGAAAAGTATGGCTTATGTTATATACTTGATTACTTAATATATTTTACTATCATTGTCCTCTCATCTCATGGGAACTGAGCATTATCTACTAACGGAAGGCAATCTTGACTGTAGAACTTACCTTTATTCATCCCAGATGATACCTCCTGAGTATGCCCACTTAGCCAATAGTAACATATTAGGGTATTACTTGGGAAGAAAATGAAGTAAGCCTATAAAGACCAGCCACCTGTTCATTTCTATAATGCGGTTTACATTACTTTTCACACTGACTTAGCCAAATAAATGACTTCATTGGAAAGTCAGACAAGTCCCAGCCTTGCAAGGCGGTGGCGGGAACCAAGGAAGAAATGTGGCCCATGCTTTCTCCCTTCACCTAAAGCGTTGGCGCATGGGGCACTTTAGTGGGAGGTGTATTTGCTTAGGTATATGTCATACACACCCGTCTATCCTTAATTTTTTTCAAATCAGTGGGCTATTTTAGAACAGTTTTCAATTTATTGAAACATTGAGCAGAAATTAGAGTCCCCATATACTCCCTTAGCCCCTATTCAAACAGTTTCCCTGTCATTAACATCTTGCATTAGTGAGGAAAACTTGTTACAAATGACAATCCAGGACTGACACATCATTATTACTAAAATCTATAGTTTACATTAGGGATTCAGTCTGTGTTGTACATTCTATGGGTTTTCACAAATCTGTAATGACATGTGTCCACCATCACAGTTTCATACAATAGCTTTTCTGCCCTAAAAGTGCCCACCTATTTGCTCCTCCCACATTCCCGTCTCCCTTTTTATTTTTAAAAATCATAATTTTCAACAGGAAAATACGGCAATATTTTCCCACAGGATATACTGGACTTACTATTTTATAGGGAAATTAAAACTTACCGGCTCGACAAATTCAAACTTCTTTTTTTCTTGAACTTCTTGAATTTTAAAGACATATTCTAGCGATGCTTCGTAGAAGTTTTGATGTTCTCGGTCAATTTGTGTATCTGCCTAAAGAGTGCAAAAAGGCAAACCATGACACAGGGAGTCATTATTAATGGTTCTGTATTAGAGAGGAGCTCAAATCCTGTTCCACTCTGAAATCTTTATTAAGTCCCGCCAAAGTTTTAATATAGCAATTATTACTATGTCCTGGGAATATAGAGACTAGGAAAACACAGCCCTTGTCCGTAAGAACTATAGTATATAGGGTGGGAGGGGGAAAACAACAACAGAGTAAGCATACAACAGTCAGATCATTTTTTAAAATAATGCAGAAGAGGTATATAAAAGTATTTGAAAATCTACAGGATCATAAAAAAAGGGCTTTAAGTTCTGGGAGAAAATGGTAGTGGTTTGAGTTGAATTTTAAGATGAACAACTGGCAGTGAGTAGTAAAAGATTAAAAAAAAAAAAAGAGCCACTCCCATAAAAAAGTAAAGACCCATGAACGAGTTTGACAGGGTTTGCCAACAGAGTACATAAGTGGAGGGAAGGAAGGAGAAGTAAGATTAGCATCACACTGTCAAAGACCTTGAACACTGCATAGCAAATTTGGATTTAACTGAGGACAAATTATCTGAGAATATTAAGCAGCAAGCCACATCATTAGGTAATCCCTTAGAAAGATAATACTGATAGCAGAGCCAAAAAATTTCCATGGTTCTAACCCAGTGATTCATACTCCATCAATGCCATGCACATTTATTCTTCATGAACACAGTAAGGTTTGATTGATAAAGTGTAAGAAAATGGTTATTGAGATAATTTCATTTTTTTTTTAATGTCACCTCTCTCCCCTCTTCTATGCCCATTGCCACCCTCATATGCCATTTTTTAAACTGATTTTTATTTATCAGAGAGGCAAGCCCTGGCTTGTGTGAATCAGTCAATTGGAGCATCCTCCCGTGCAATGGAAGGTCATGGGTTTGATTCCCAGTTAGGGGACATACCCAAGTTGGTTCAAACACTGGTCAGGGAGAGTACGGGAGGCAACCAATGATGTATCTCTCTCACATTGATGTTTCTCTCTCTCTCTCTTTCTCTCCTCCCTCCCCCCTCTCTAAAAAAATCAATTTAATAAAAAAGAGAGAGTCATGATTTTACTTTTCATGCCCAGTTACATACTCCCCGCTGCCAGCTGAGATTACTAAAAGCAGATGAAAAAAAAAGGGGGGGGGGCTCTCTGGAATACAAAGTATCTGCCAACAACTATTTGGGAATAAAATATAATTTTGGAGCTACTTTATAATGACAATTTCACAAAGAGAAGCTTTAAAAAAAAGATAAAATTAGGTTTACTGGCTTGGACATCATAGCATCTTAAAACTTCACTTGAAATGCCTTTAAAAGTAATTATATACACTATGCATTTATTCATATAATTAAAAGTAACCCAGTATTATAAGCAGCTCAATAGGGATTTTTTAAAGTTGAGCGTTCCAACTTTCTAAACTAATATACAAAAAGAACATATAAATCAGGTAGGAAATGTGAGCCAGAAGCTTCCAAAGATAATTTCTAAGCAAGAAAAGATATACACATCAACACAAAGGCAATCAGCATTCTACACAAATCAGGCATTTTCTGACCACAGCTTACAAGAGCACACTATTTATAGAAGGAAGGGTAAGGAGGTATACTTAGTGGTATGCTAATAAATGTGTAGCAGCTGGCTCTCGCGGGGGGAAGCCGGATTTGCAGTCCTGGCTGGTTTCTGTGGTGTAAATATTCCCCAAACAGCCAGTTCCAAACCACAAACCCAACATCAGTGAATGAGGGAGTTAGAAAGAGATGAGAAAGTCAGCTCTCCAAGAGAGAGCTCCAGGACACCACTGTTGGCAGGGCCAGAAGAATATTTTTAGTCTCAGCGACAGCATTCTATTCCACAAGTTACTTCTGAAGGTCTTACTATCTACTTGAAAAGATATCGGCATTGACTGTGTTGACTGGCGCATGGGAACAAACTAGAATGTCGAGCCACCTTGACGACGTATGTGATTATTTCTGGTCAACAAAGCTGTGAAGCAAAGCGCACAGCAGGCGCGGATGCTGTCCTGGAAGGCCTGCTCGCAGGCTGGCTTTTGGCTGCATCTGGGAATGTTGATTTTGGGAGAGTTCCCACCACCCTAATTGATAAGCGTAGTTCACTATGTCAAAACAATTTGTGCAAACAATCTGGTTTACTTTAAACACCTGCATTTCTTCTGGGACTCTGGAATTTGGGTCCACGACAAGCAGAAGGTGCCTATGTGACCACTTCCCAGTAAAAAACCAGGGGTACTCGGTCTATATTGAGTTTCTAACAGACAACATTTCACATGTTTTCTTCACGACTTATTATTAGTGGAATTAAGTGTGTCCTGTATGTCTCCACTGGGAAAGGACTCACGGAAGCTCATGCCTAGTTTTACCCCAGACTTCACCCTATGCATCCTTTGCTGAGTTTCCTTCATATCTTTTCACTGCAATAAACCACAGCCATGAGTCCTAGCAAATCATGAAATCTGGGGGAGTTAAGTCATTTCCTCGGAAACTCATTTGCCTTGCACAAGTCCATCTCATCAAAGGGGTGTGGGGGCACCAAGAAGGATAAAAGAGGAAAGATGACTCTTGCCACCTGCCAATTATAGATATTTCCCATCACCTCCAATCTAGATGAATTCCAAACCTGCTTAAATTCCCATCACCTCGCATCTCGATGCATTTGTTGTACCAAGCCTGCTTTGAAAGGTCATCTAGAATGTACAGTGCTTAGAGAATATAACAGCTTAATTTCTCTTCAGTACAAGATTTTTTTGAAAGACATTCTTTACTTGGGATGAATCCCGTTTGTACTTAAGCTCATACAGTGTGTTATTCACTAGCAGACAGTTGCTTATAAACCCACTGGCAGCTGTTGCTTTGTATTCAGTACTGGATAAATAGGATAACCATATAATTTACTGTCCAAACTTTTTAAACTGAAAGGGAGCACCAGTAATAATTATGCCCAAACAACAGGTATAAACTATTGTTTACAAGGCAAAAGGGGACAGAAAAGTCATCCTAGTAAGAAACCAAGTTAATTACATAAGAAAACCATATAGTTCTGCAGAAACCTAAATTACTCCCCACTTACAGTAAGCGATCTGATTCAAAATAGAGAAATACACACACACACACACACACACACACACACACACACACACACACCCTCATTCCCAGAGGAAAAATGATTTAAGCTGGACTGAAGAATGGGGAGTTTAGAGTAAGTGGAGACAAAAGGAGAAGAATCTGAGTGAGGGAAAAGAGTCCAGAAAAGTTACGTTTTGGTTGATCAAAAAGTTTAGTCAGAAATGAGAGGTAAGGCAGAAAAGAGAGAATGTGTGCAAACTTCATCTATAGACACCACAAAAGCTTGAGGAAGGTGTTGACGAGATCAAAGTAGAATTCCAGGAAGATTAACGTGAGGACAGTAGAGAATATACTGATTCAATGGTGCGGCTGGGTGCCTGTGACTGTGGAGACCTCTTATTTAGTGGAGGTGAAGATGTTTGGTATACCTCAGTAAGAAAGAGAAGCTGAAGGATGTGAGAAACAAGGATGAGGGTGTGAGAAAGGAGGGGGGAAAAGTCAAAAATAATTTTGGTATGAGAAACACCAGCATTACAGAATTAAAGAAATGAGAAGTAGGAACAAATTTGAGAAAATGGTGATATGTGAGATTTCAATGTATTAGTAAGAAGAGGTAAAGACCCGAGCAGCGGGAAGTTGGTCAGCATGATGAAATCACGCCCTGAGATGCTCATCGGGGTGTTATAAGGACAGTACGGAAATGGAAGAGATGCTGGGGACACAAACTTAAGGATATGAATAGAGGAATAAGGGTAGAAACTAAGGGATTCCCTTTCTTTAGGAGGCAGGGATAAGAGGACTCTGCTCAAAGCATACTTAGAGATATGTGAAAAGCCAATTTCTGGGTTTCTCAAAGGGTTTCTTTTCTCCTAATTATAAAAGTATTACAGATTCATTATTATGTTTATTCATTACTCATTACTATAACAGAGAAATGTGAAGATTATAAGAATCATTATTCTTTTTCTTTTTTTAACCCTCACCCAAAGGCATGCTTACAGAGAGGAAGGGAGAGAGAGAGAAACATTGATGTGGGAGAGAAACATTGATTGGTTGCCTTCCACACACTCCCAGACTGGGGATTGAACCCACAACCCAGGTATGTGCACTAACCAGGAATCGAACCAGCAACCTTTTGGTGCATAGGAAGATGCTCAGCCAACTGAGTCACACTACAGCTAGGCACCAATCATTCTTTTGTGCCATTTCAGATATTTCTAAATTTTTGCATTGCAAGAGTAATCTTACATCAACACCACAATTTATTTTTATGGTCATTTTGACCATTTCTCTTGGGTAAATTCCTATCAACAGAAATCATTTCAACTATCTTTTACATTTCAAATTTGTTGAAATATGTCATCAAATTTATCTCAAGAATAATTGAATAATTTTGTTTCTACCAGAGAAGCAAAAGTGTGCTCGTTTTTCCATATCATCACTAACAGTGGATATATTTTAATAAATTAAACTAACATCCTGCTGCTATTATTAATCTGCATTGTATTTTAATATGTAACATTGAAACTGAACCATATTCACTATGGCTTACATTTCTTCTTTAATGAAATAACCACTAATATTTTGAAACCATTTTTTCAACTGAAGACTACCTTTTTTACACTGATTTGCAAAAACATCTTGTGTATGAGTGATGGTAATCCTATGTCAAATGCTATATAAATTCCCTGATACTTTGCCTTTTAATTTGACTTAATGTCTTATGAAACAGACATTCTGATCTTTCCACATTTCCTTTATAATCTCTTCCTCTTATTTTATGCTGAGGAAGACATTAACTGCTCACATATTAAATATTACTACTTGTTATGTGCTGTAAAGTCTATTATATTGACAAGTCTGTTTCCAACTCTGTTATTCCAATGATCCACCTGAAAGATGGTCTTGGAGCTTTATCAACACAAGCTGAAGCCTAGTTCCATCCTGGAAATGGCAGCCACCGATTTCCCTGAGGAGTCAGAGAGAAGGCACAGAGGGGTCTTTCTGAGAGCAACTTAACAAGTCTGGTGCCGACAGAAGGACAGGAACAGATGTCTTTTAATACCATGTTACAAAACTAACTACACGTGTGGCAGCATCTCCCGATGAGAGAACTTGATTCCTGGAAGCGTAGTGCAAACAAAAAACTCACGCCACATTTTTCCTTGTCTACATTATGTGCTCCGAGGAGCTGCGATGGCACAACTGTGTTGTGTTGTGGGCTGTGCCTCCTGGAAAAGAAGAGTGTGAGTGTGTGAGTGTGTGAGTGTGAGCGTGAGTGTGTGAGTGTGTGAGTGTGTGTGTGTGTGTGAGTGTGTGAGTGTGAGTGTGTGAGTGTGTGAGTGTGTGCGTGTGTGAGTGTGTGTGTGTGAGTGTGTGAGTGTGTGTGTGAGTGTGTGAGTGTGAGTGTGTGAGTGTGTGTGTGAGTGTGTGAGTGTGTGCGTGTGAGTGTGAGTGTGTGAGTGTGTGAGTGTGCTCTTAGGTTTATTCTAGTGCAATGTTTAGAGAAATGTGAGCATTTAAGAAATATGGAACAGGTGAATATAATATTAAATTTGTATGGAAGCACAAAATATTCCAGATCGTCAAAGCAATATCGAGAAAGAACAAAGCTAACGATATCACGCTCCCAGTTTTCAAACTATATTACAATGCTATATTTAAAAAACAGTATGGTATTGGCATAAAAACAGACAAACAGATGAATGGAACAGAACAGAGCCCAGAAATAAACCCATGCATAAATGGTCAATAGATTTATGAAAAAGAAACCAAGAATATACAATGGGAAAAGAACAGTGTCATCAACAAATGGTGCTGGGAAAACTGGACAGCCAGATGAAGAAGAATGAAACTCGATCACTATTTTACACCATTCCAAAAATTAGCTCAAATGGATCAAAGACTTGAACATAAGACCTACAATCATAAATGCTTAGAAGAAAAACATAGGTGATAAGCTCCTTGACAGAGATCTTGGTGATGATTTTTTGAATCTCAAACCAAAAGCAAAAACAAATAAGTGGGACTACATCAAACTAAAAAGCTTTTGCACAGCCCTGGCCAGTGTGGCTCAGCTGCACCAAAAGGTGGCTGGTTCAATTCTGGTCAGGGTATATGCCCTGTGTTGCAGGCTCAATTCCAGGTAGGACGCATGCAGGAGGCAGCCGACAAATGTTCCACTCTCACATCGATGTTTCTTTCTCCCTCTTCCTTGCCCTGTCTCTAAAATTCAATAAAAATATTTTTTACAAAGCCTCTACACAGCAAAGGAAAAGGCAATGTACTAAATAGAAGAAAATATTTGCAAATCATATATGTGATAAGGGGCTAATATCAAAAACATATAAAGAACTCATACAACTCAAGAGGAAAAAACAAACAATCCTATTAAAAAATAGATAATCTGAATAAACATTTTTACCAAAAAAAAAAAAAAAAGACATACAGATTGACTGACAGAGACATGAAAAGATGCTCAACATCATTAATCATTGGGGAAATGCAAATGCAAATCAAAACCACAACGAGATATTACCTCACACCTGTTAGAATTGCCATAATAAAAAAGACAAGAGGTAACAAATGGTGGTAAAAATCTAAATTGGTGCAGTCACTATGAAAAACATTATGGAGGTTACTAAAAAAAATAAAAAACAGAACTACATTATGATCCAGCAATTTCACTTCTGGCATTTATCTGAAGAAAACCAAAACTCTAACTCAAAAAAATGTATGCAGCCCCATGTTCATTGAGGAGTTATTTACAATAGCCAAAATATGGAAACAACCAAAATGTCCATAGATGAATGAATAAATAAATAAATAGTGAACACTGGTCAGCCAAAATAAGTAAATAAAATCTTGCTATTTTGACAACCTGGATGGACCTTGAGGGCATAATGCTAAATGAAAAAATCAGACAAAAAAAGAGAAATACCATATGATCTCTCTTATATGTGGAACCCCAAGAAAATAAGTGAATAAAAGTTCACAGATAAAGAGAACAGATTGTTGGTTGCCAGAGTCAGGGGGGGCAGGGGAATGGGCAGGGATAAAATTTAAGAAAAAAGGAAGGAAGGAAGGAAGGAAGGAAGGAAGGAAGGAAGGAAGGAAGGAAGGGAGGAATGAGGAAGGAAGGAGGGAAGGGAGGAAGGAAGGAAGTGAGGATGAAATGATGTAAGCTTAATAAGAGCTTTCTAAGTAGAACAAACAATAAGTGCAAAGGTCCTGAGGTATGCCCAGACTTGAATAATTTGGGCAAGACCAAAGGTTAACATAACCAAAGCATGGAGTAAAGAGAAGAGTCAAGAAAGGGGCGGGGGGTGATGGAGGAGAAGTAGTAGTAGTAGTAGTATGGACATGTCAATGGAATATTAAATTGTAAATATAATACCTCATAAAATTAAACATGCCATTGAAAATTTAAAATATTAATTTTTCTTAATGACAGTTTTTCCCCCCCATTTCATTTAGCTACAAAACCTTTCCATGGGCACACAATTGTATGTTCAATTATCCTTTTTTAATAGCAGGTGCTAGTAACACAATATAGGTTATAATGAACTCATGTTTAAATAACAGAACTTCCCAATATGAAATATATTGAAATGAAGAAATTCAATTCCCTCAATGAGAACATGAAAGTGTAGAAAAAAGGAACCAGAAGCAAAATAACCCTCCCGTGGCTTTTCGATGCGGGGGAACTCTAATCATACTCTGACTCATCAAGCAGCCCCGTGGCTGGATGTGGAGGTAAGAGAAATAGCAGAAAGAACACAGAGAGCAAGGACCAGGTTGAATTGGAAAAGTGCTCGTTGGCTTCGCTGGATCAGGATGAGGCATTCAGAAGCGGTTCTGGACAGTGACACCTCCCAAGTACAGAGAGAGGAGGGAGAAGAGATGGGAGACTCTGCGTGGTGGTCTCCTATGATTCCCTGTGAAGGTGTGGGGCCCAGGGTGCAACCACCTGACTCCCATCTTGCAGCTCTGAGACAACCATGGTAGATCCAGGGAAAAGCGTGGGTGGAGTGTCAAGAGTTTTTGTTGTTGTTCTTAGGATGAAAATGACAAGAAAGTCCATTAAAAAACACACACATACCTCATCAGAACTGAAACTGCACTATGCCTTAGTAAAAAGACTACAAGATTTTACTAATTATAGTTAAAACACTACCAATGAGGACAGATATTTCAGAAAGAAGGAATAATGGGACTGCTTATATGCATACAGGTTAGTAAAATATTTCTGTTGCCTATTCTTTAAGAAAACCGATGTAAAATAATTGCATCCCCCCCCCCCATGTTGAGGCAACGCCTTAAAAACAGATATTTTCAACTTAACATAAAAGCTATAACATGAATTTGGTAGGTTCTGCCATTACAATATGCCCAACAGAAGAAAATAAAAAAGTTTTGCTTCATTTTCTTACTGTTGAAGAAAACACTATCTTTTCATTTGGAATGTTAATATTAAATGTCACAAGGCATGAACAATGTGCAGCACAGTGCCTGTCATTAGTAAAGGCTCAGTGAACTATCTACTTTTTTTAACGAAAGAATAGCAGATTCTGAGACACTGCTACCTTGGACATTTGGACTTCACATGACGTAATGCTAATGTCCTTTTTTTCTATTGGAAAAGCTTACCTCTTGCAAATGAGACTCCTTTTTCTTCGCAGACAAATTTAAATGTTTTTCAAGAATAGAATAGTATTTTTCACTCTCCTTGTCAAACTTCTTCTTCCCATCCTGGGGATAACAAAACAAAACAAAACATTCAAATTAGAGCCGCAAGAAAACCACAATTTTCACCACTCCCATCAAACATCAAATAAAAGGATTAGTGAACTCCAAATACGTGCAAAATTGTATGAAGCAGAGTAGAAAGAAGGACATAAAACAGTCGTTTGAATACGTATTCTCTCAGAGGTGCTCATGGAACTATCTCTTATGGAGGGCAGACTGACTACAGTAGACTCCCTTTGAGCACTTTAGAATTGATTCTCAAATAAAGAAAATGTCTCCTTTAGGCTTTTTAGTGACTCAGAAAATGTCTCCTTTAGGCTTTTTAGTGACTCAGATGAGATAATACATAGCCAGTTTAGAGAACCACTGGCACAGAGCCTTTTCCAGAAATCTTTATTTCCCAGCCACAAAAAGATACTTGATATTTCAAACAACTCATTCTTAACAAGAAAGAAAACAGACTTTTAAAAGCATAAAATCATTAAGTCAGACCGCTTAAAGTCAAATCAAAGGGATTAGCAGCATCTGTATCACATACTCAACATAACTAATAACTAACCTTGGTTCACTCCTAAAAATTATGTTTTTGTTTTGAACAGGTAGCTGTAACCAGGATGGCCTTTTGAGGGGAAGGAGGATAACTTTACCTTTCATTCTATCACATGCTTTTATCGAAATGCAAATGTAATAAAATCCTAAAAGGAACAGGACATGCCTGGGCATACAATCTTCTCCAACCATAAATATGCATGTTTTCTCCATTCATGAACTCCTCTGAAATAAATACTAGGGAACCACACTCAAATTTCATTGGCCAGAGTAGTACTACTCTTTGCTTTTATTTCAGTGTTTCTGGAAGGACAACCTCTGAACCACTTTAATCAGAGTCAGGTATCTTTAAGCCTATTCAAAATGCAGGTTCCTATTTCTCCCATCCAGAGATTCATGCACTGTTATTTTTCACCACCTTTACTATATTGTACACCTTAAACTAATATGAGCTTGTGTGTCAACTGTAATTAAAAAATAAAATTTTTAAGAATATATTTTTTTATTGATTTCAGAGAAGAATGTGCCCTGACCAAGAATCGAACTGTGACCTTCTGGTTGATAGGTCGACACTCAACCACTGAGCCACGCCAGCTGGGCGAAAAATAAAATTTAAAAAATCAATCTCCATAATTATTATGCATAATGTTTTGCTTCATTATTTGCATAAGGATTTGGAAAAGGTAAATTACAAACAATGGCTGTCCCCTACCCAACCCCATTAACCTCTTCCAGCAAAAAAAAAAAGGGGGGGGGCATATGTAATACTTTCAACAATAAAGATTTTTAAAAACAAAAACAAACAATGGATGAATGGATGAATGGACGGATGGGGCAAGGAGGGGAAAAGGGAAGAATGGAGGGAAAAGCATTGAATGGAAAGAACAAGTAGGCTTCTGCTATAGAAGTTCAAATCCCTTTTAGACCATTTAAGAAGTACTGATAGGTTTGTACTTTATAGCATTATACCTGTAAACAAGGGGGGGAAAGTCTAAATCCTCCAAGGATTCTTATTACCTAAAGAGAACATGTGGTCCTACTAAGAGAAACACAATTGAAAATAAATCCAAAAGAGGTCTGTTGAGGAACTCACATACCAAAATGAGCAGAACCGAAAGGAATCGAGGAAGCCCAAGGCTCAGACAGGAGAAGCATGTCCTCTCCACTGAAGGGACAGACACCTGGGTGAGCATAGTAGCTTCTGCTCAATGATGTTACTCTTTTTTTTTTTAATAATTTTTATTTCTTGAAGTATTACAAAGAGTATTACATATGTCTCCTTTTTCCCCCCTCTTGACATTTCCCCGGCCCCTACCCCCCTAGTGTCTTGTGTCCATTGGTTATTCTTATATGCATGCATATAAGTCCTTCGGTTGATCTCTTAATCCCACCCCTCCAAATCCTCCCCAGGCTTCCCATTGTAGTTTGACAGTCTGTTCAATGTTGCTCTGCCTCTGCATCTACCCCTGTTCATCAGTCTATACTGGTCCCCATTATCTGTCCCAACCTCACTGGAGCAGTCCCAACCTCACCGGGGCCGTCCCAACCTCACCGGGGCCGTCCCGACCTCACCGGGGACATTTCAACCTCACCAGGGCCGTCCCGACCAATGATGTTACTCTTAAACTGGTGTTTCATGCCCACCATTCACCTGCCCAGTCTACTTCTCCAAAAGTCTCTCTCACTAGCCCCTTTTGAACTCCCATCCTTTTCTTTTTCCTCTCCGGGCCATCTCCCCTTTGACATAAATGCTCATTTCTTCTAATTTCAACATACTCAAGTTATATCTACTTTTAGTATCCAGCTCAAATAGACATCATTGACAAGTCCCCTCCACCAACTCTCTCTCCCTTGTGAATGCTCATATAGCTTTATACATGGCTTTCTTATGGTGTTCATGTTCTACACTGCAGCACAGACCTTTACATATACCCTATCCTCCTTAAAATTAAATATCTCAGAGAGAGCTCAATAAATATTTAATGAAAGGATGAAAGTCTTCCTCTTATAGCACTGGCCACAATAGTCCCTCATTGATATTCCATTTGCTCAAAAAGTCAATATCCATGTTACAAGGGAATATTCTGCAGAAACAGCGTTAACTCAAACCCAATGGCACATTCTCATTTGGGGGCAACCAGCTGCATCATGGTATAGTACATAAAACTGATTCACTTTCATCTTACAATGTGGGCTTAAAATTTCTCACTGTACATAAAAGAAGAAACTGGTTGAAGAAGAGAACACAGCTGTGGTGGCTACACTTGCATCTTTGTTTTCAGTCAGTGTTTGATGGCATTTTTGGAAATGTTAATTCAGGGCTAACACATCAGAATTCCTGGCAATAGAAAAGTTATTCCCAGAAGCACTTCCTGGACTCTTATTCAAACCCTGGTCCTTCACACCACTGGGCCAGCAAAAAAGATCTACTCAACAGTTCCAATGATATAGACAACAAAAACTCACTCAGCTGGAGCATAAAATTAAAGAGTTGAGTTTGCAGAGCGGGCCACATGAAGGACAACTATAATCTAAGGAAGCATGTTTCTGAAAACAAAGCATGCTTCTCACATCTCCCCTAAAAAGTCATGATTTACTGCTCCTGTAAGCCAAGTCTATTTGGACTTAACCATTTAACACCATACAGCTACCTCTTGTCTCTGTTTACTTGTTGTGGATATCAAGCTAAGAATTTTCTCTGAAACTAGTGCTACAGAGAGAAGGGGAAAATAACCCATGAATCTTTACTAAATGCTGTGAATAATCATTGACTTCATATTTTTATTTTATTGATCTTAGAGAGAAGAAGGGAGGAAAGGAAAGGAGGGGGAATGAGAGGGGGAGGGAGAGAGAGAGAGAGAGAGAGAGAGAGAGAGAGAGAGAGAGAGAAACATCGATTGGTTGCCTCCCATACATGCCCCCACCAGGGACCAAACCCACAACCTGGGTATGTGCCCTAACCAAAAATCAAAACCAGCAACCTTTTGGTGTATGGATGAAGCTCCAACTAACTGAAACACACCATCCAGAGCCTATCACGTCTTCTTATTGTCTTGGAATGATTCATAAAATGCTATATTATAATGGTACATTTTCTGCAAATCAATGATGACTGTATTTGAACTAGGTAATCATTAAAAATGAAGACATATATAGGCATGTATGTGTGATAAGTATGTATATGATAAAATATTTAAATATAGATCATCATAAAGGACAAATTAGTCCCCAAGCCTAATTAGAATTGGAAAAAGTGTAAGATAAGTTCTGGGTCTACATTCTGTTTTCCAAACTACGCTGATTTATTCTGAGCACAGTGATCATACTATTACTGAGCTTTTAAGCTTAGCAACTATGGTGACGTCACACACACTGAAGTGAGGAAGGAGAGGAAATCATTACAGCACAAATTCCAAGTGCCAATTTTACTCTTAAAGTTATTATATATAATAAAAATTGTCAAATAGTTATAGCTACAAGCATATTACAGATAAAAATATTAAATTATACACAATTGTTAAAAAGAAAAAAAGACCAAACCAATGCCTTCACTAACCACAAGAGGGTACCAAAGATAAAGAATAGATTCAACCACAACATTTAGAAAATCACAAATAGAAATTCTAAGTGTTATCTAATAGCACTTTTTTTTCTATAAAAGACTACTGCACAGTTTGTTTAAACAATTGCCTTAGCAACCTTTATTTTAATGTTACCATGATATAAATTTTTAAAATGAAGGAAGTAAAAAAATTTTTTCTGTTTCTTTTAAATAATGGAACACATATATAGGATTTATGCTTCAGACTTTTTAAGACAATCCCAATGTTATGATAGCCACACAGGATACTGAAAAATTTCCTATACAAATATGTTATCATGTTAGTGTAATAACCATTAGCTAAATAAATGCTACATGTATATTTTGAAAAATCCTTCACGAGACTGCACAGTAGTAGCAAAAGTAATATGAAGAGTAATAAATACCAATAGCTACATTTCTATTTAAAAAAATATGTGGAAGTCTCGTGAACTGGCACTGTGGTGGACACTGAGAGGATATGATACAGCCCTGACTGTATCCATCCTGGCTAGCCTGCTTCCGCTCCTGGTGGTGGGATTTACCCACTGCCTAGAACGGCAGCCCAGGGTGACATCACAATCTCTGAGCGTCTGAAGGGCCAGATGCAAGGATATTCCAACCACATACTGTGTAGGAGTTTCCTGAGGCCCAACTGATTCCTGCTATCCAGAAACCCAAATTGTTGATAATCTTAGTACAGCGTAAACAGCAATATCGCCCTGTGGGTGACTGCACCCCACCATCCCCAGTCTCCCCAACCCATTCTCCACCCCATCCCTCCTCCTCAATCTGCTCACATATAGACATTCCAAAAGGGCTCCTTCCAGGTGGGCTGCCCCAGCATAATTCACACATCCCTCCCATTCCCAAT